ATTATTTTCTGTAAGTACCACCACGGGAGTCCCATGTCTTGGGGGACTTAAATAACTATAGGCCCCTGTTTGACCACTTCGTGGTCCCCTGTTGTCATGGATCCATTGATCCCTGTAGTGATTGTCACTTTAGTGACCCATGTTCTGTTATGTTCTGTATCGTGGTTATAGTGATTTATTTCAGTTTCAGCCACTTAATTAATTTGTGTATTCAACTCAAATTATGTTAATATTTTAGTTTAAATAATTATCCATAGCCATTTTGTACCCTAATACTCACAGTATAATATTTCTCACTCTACTATGTGCTTATAGCTGTTACTCCTTTCAGGTGACGAGGTTTAGCGGGATCAAGATAGAAAATGAATCGCTGTGTTGTTTTTTTTAAAATCTTTTTTTTATTTCTATCTGTTTTGTTTTGAACTCTTGTAATACAATAAAGTTCAAATGACTATGTTTTGTTCCCTTTTAAATAAGCAGTTGGTACCCAATTATTTTATTTTAATTTATTTAATTTATCCGCTTGCGCTACGACTACAAAATTATTTGAATTATTTTATTCTTATCTTGTTACGACGCCGAGCCTTTGGATACCAGATTTGGGTCGTGACACTATTAAATCACATTTTTATTGTAGTGATGTGACACTTCTTTATTAAAATGTCACTAGAGCCTTGTATACTTGTGGCTCTATGGCATTTTTTTAAAAACATGCCATTAAATATTCTTTTTGTGACATTTTTTAAAAATATGCCACTAGTATAGTGCCACTAAAGTATATTTTTGTTGTAGTGATGAACAAAATTTGAACAAATTTTAAAATTCGTAAAAGTTTTCAAGCCAAATTTGAATAGTAAAATTACTAATAAAAGCTACAATTAAAACTATTTTTTTTATTTCTATCTTAAAAAATAAAAATAAAATAAAATAATTGATACATATTTAAAAGTTTTAGTTATGAGTTTGAATTCTTTTGGATTCTCTAAAATAAATTTAGAATTTTTTTTTCAATGACTGGTATTTAATTGTACAAAAATTAAAGATACAGTAGTCAAAAGTTAAAAATATAATAACTATACAAATAATCATTCTAACATCACCTTTTAAAAATTTAAGAAGTTCAAAAAAATCTCTCCTTTTGAACTATTAGGCTAATTACAATGAACCAAAATTTCGTACATAATTTCCAAAAGCCCACCACCCAAATTATTTTATCAATCAAGTTAAAGGGCAAAATAGAAATTTTCAAAACAAGCTAAGACCAAAATAGGTAATAAATGACAAGCCATCTCAATCAAAGCAATTCTTAGATAAAGGGCTGCTATTTGCCCTCACCTTTTACTTTGGCCCCCCATCCAACACAACGAAGTCTCTCCATTTTCTCTTTGAACCTCCACCTTAATACCAACTATACCCCTAACCCCAAATCTAAACCCAAACCCAAACCCTAACCCTAATCCCATCCCCACCAACTCTGGTAACCACCGCCGCTATCTCTGATGGCCAATCTGCAGCCCCTCTCTCCCGGTTTACGACTTATAGGGAATGATTTCATGATTGTATGTCTTTGATTTGTTGTTGGGGAGGAATTGAAGACAATGGTTAGCTCCGACTATACCCTCCACCGCGGCGCACCACCACCAACCTCTGCCGCCATCCCTACCTCCTTTTCCTCTTCCGTCACCCGATCTAGACCTCGCCCTACATGGTTCCATACTAAAAGCGGTCGACAACAAAGGTAAAGAAGAGCCCATTTGGGTTCACGACGGCTGTTGGGTGGGATGGGGTGGCGCATCTGGGTTCCGTACTTACGTCTTGTCTTCTCTCCTTCGTGATAACGGATGTGAAATGGTAATCGTGACAACCTACCCTCCCTGTTCTACCACCTACTAGAAAGAAAGAAGTAAAAAGGATCGCGGTGGTAAGAGGTGGTATGAGGGTGGTCGCCGGTAGAGAGGCACTGAGATGGCTGCCGAAGGAGGCTGCTAGCCGGAGTAGAGGTGGAGATGGGATTAAGGTTAGGGTTGGAAGGACAAAGATAGGGTCAAAAATAAAAATTAATGTTAGGGAAAAAAATGTAATTAAAAATATAGAATAGATGAGAGTCCGAAGAAAAAAGGTAAGGAGCATTTAGTAGCCCTCCTTATATATATATATATAGATTTAACAAAAATTGCATTAAAAATATACACACCTTTCTTTTTTATGTAAATAAACCTTAAGTTTCATTTTCAATTATATAGTTATTTTCTGTTATATGTCAGAATAACATGATTATGTGATAGATGATTCAGAAATTATTTGGTGGTTCTAGGGCATGATTAGGCAGTGTTTCACAATAGTGCTTTGATTAGTGAAAAATATAAGATTTATAATTTTGTGTTAGGTTTTGAAGTAACAATAAAAGACATGGCATTTGATGATTTGTGGGACACATTGTCAGGTAATATCTTGTACCATAAAAAATAAATAATAAAAAAAATATTTCATTTATGCCGATTCGGACATCGTTTATTAATAAATTAAAGTCAAAAAAAAATTACTACAAATTATTGCATGCTTTTTAAAAATTTTAATATGATTTTTTTATATAAAAAAAACATTAATTAAAATACCTAATGAATCAATTCCCAAACCCACTTTATCATGAATAATTTTTCTTTTCAACTTATCTTTCTTTGTCTAGGCCAATACATTCATATAAACCATCATCTTCAAAATTGCCCTTGTCTTGTCCCAAATATTCCAAATTAACATAATGAGGAGCCCACATGTGATGTTAAAATCCACCCACAGCCGACACACTTCCCATCTTGCCACTATACTCTCGACACGTGTCCCCAAAATTTCCTAGGTCGGTGATCCGCCCCGCCCACTTAAAGTAACAGCGCCACTCCACGCCGTCCGCCCATTTTTGTTTTTGGGGTAATTACCGTCCGCCCATTCAAACGTCTCTTAACGCCGTCACGCCTTCAAAAAACTTTTTAAAAAAGCCCCTTTAGTTTTACGAGTTTTCATTTTAGTTATTATAATTATAATTTTATTAATTTAAAAATAAAATTAATTAATTAAAATTAAACTTTTTTATTTTATTTTATTTTAATATGATCCATCTGGTAATTATTGTTAGTTTTTTTAATAAAAAACAACACAGGAGAAATTAATTATTCAAAAAAATATTTAAAAATGTCTAAAAAATTTTTAAAAAATCCACATTAACATATGGTATGTATCAATTTTTTTTTTATTTCTTACCCATTATGGCTCCGTTTAAAAAGTTAACTATTTTAATGGTTAGTTATTTTAGACTAGTTAAAATAGTTGTATTTAAAAAGAGAGTTAGATTTTTTATGCAATTAGATGTAATGTTTGTGAGAGAAAAAATAAATTATTATAAATTTTATGACATTTTAATCTAGTGTTATTTTAACCCAAAAACCAAAAAAATCTCTTCCTAAAAACCCCCTATATAAGGCTAAACTAACAATGTGTGTTTGGTTTGAGTTTTTTGGATTAAATTTTTTAAAAATTGAATTTTTTATTTTTAGTGAATATTTTTAAAATTTTAAACAATTTTTTTTATTTTTTTAGATGCACTTTACTAAGATGTATTTAAAAAATAAAAAAATTGTGAAAAAATATTTTTAAAAATTAATAAATACATAAACATATGAAAATATATTGAATTCTAGTTTTTTTTTTATATTTTTGATATTGAGTGAATTTTTAAAAGATTTTTTTCACAAAAATTATATTTTTTATGTGTATTTATGTTAGGTGTATCTAAAAATTAAAAAAATTACTTAAAAAATTAAAAAAATCAATAAAAATACAAAAAACAATAAAGTAAAAAATTTTAAAGAGTGTTTTTGAAAATTAAAACCAAGCAAAGTGAATGTTATCGCGGGTGAATCATAAGGCTTAAGTTATGAATTTCTAGTAGAAATGTTCACAAATTGGGTTGGTTGACTTCCCATCTGTCATTCATTTAAACTTAAGTAAATTAAAAAAACTAATTCACATTCATCTACTTAGGGTTATTTTGAAAAATTGGTTAAAAGTTGACTTTTTATTTTTTTACTTTCTTTTACTTTTCTAACAAATTTTGTAAAAAAGTAAATAGATGATATGACCCAAAATAAGTGAAAAATCAAAATTTGACTTTTAATTATGTTTCCAAATTATGCCTTTATTAGCAAATGCAAATTGAGCAAGCCGTACAAATTGACAGGTAAATAAGGGTCGGTTTGGTCTCGTTGGGCAACTATATATTTTAGTCAAAAAGTAAAAAAATCGCTATAAGTTGTCATATCACTCTATCTATTTTTTTACATATATTTTCATAAAAAATCAAAAAATTATAAAAATAACTAATTCCCAAATTAGACCTTAGTCTTTACTATTTTGAATGTTTTTGAACTATTTTCTAGTAGTTCTTGTTTGGGCATTAGAAGTTCGGCCATTCGATTTTCCCGAAATAATTTCTCTTAAAGCATAATTAAAATATAAAGTTAAAATAAAATTACAAAAATTAAAGTGAAAATTCATGCAAATTATGGCGATAAACGGTGTAAATAAAATTTTTGAATAAATTACAAATATATTATTTGAAGTTTACTTAAAATACAGATTGTCTGATGTGGTTTGAAAATTTACAAATGCCTTCTTATTAAAATTTTTTATTTAACAGAATTAACTAAAAAAATGAAATTCATAATTGCTTTCCTATACAATAATAAAATTACCTAAATTATTAATTGAAACATAATTTTAACATTATTAAAAACTGTTAATTGACTTAATGATTTATTAATAAAATGAACGATTTGTTATAAAATTAGAAACCTAAAAGGTGAAATGTAATTTTAAAACTAAAAAGAGTGATTCGTATTTTAATCAAATCTGAAGAGCTATTTTTGTAATTTATCCAAAAAAATTTCCCTTATCCGAACCTCAGGCTCGGAACTCTTATCTTTTTATTTAAATATACTGTGTGAAGCTTCCGTTGGCTTTCCCAAAACCCCCCATTTCTCATCGCCAGGGTTTCGCTCTCATTGTGGAATGGCCGAGCACAGCGAGTCTGATTCCAAAGGTGAGTCGTTCATGGACACGATCGTTGAGAAGCTTCACAGCGACGATTCCTCATCGTCGTCCTTCGAATCTGATTCCGATAAGAATCCCAAGTCTTCAGTCAAGACCAAGATTTTTCGATTGTTCGGCAGAGAAAAACCACTTCACAAGGTCTTCGGTGGTGGCAAACGTACGTACACCTCTCTCTCTCTCTCTCTCTCTCTCTAAGTACATACACAGTTAGTTATTAGGGCTTTTTTTCGATCTAGTTATTGGCCCGTTTGGTAGAGCTGTGAAAATTATAACTTACAGCTTATAGCTTAAGGTATTATAAATTAAGCTTTTCTTCTTTACATATCAAAATAACTTAAATTAAACTAAAAGGTGGAATAAGTTGAAAATAAGTCGTAGCAAACAGGGCCATTGCTTGATTGAGATGTGAGACGGTGATTACGCGAATCAGAGGCGCATATGTTTTAGTAAGTATATAGATTGTTTGGTGTATTAGGGTTTTAGAATTTTGAAGTGGTTTTAGATCTGATTTAAATTTCTCACTTGTTTGTTAATGTCTTGCTTCTGCAACTTGAACGCATATTAGGGTTTATTCATTTCTTTATTGTTATGTTTGATTGATGTGGAAGCAGTAAGAGTGAGTATAATATGAATTACAATTCAGAATTAAGTTGAAACCAGCGTAACTATTTAGCACCACGAAATCTGTGAGTATTATTAATTGTTTTTGTCACTCAACTACCACTATTTCGCTGATACCTTTCCCTTGTTTCTGAAAATTTGTGAGCACAAATCAACAAACGTGCTATCTATTTTCTGTGAGTTAGGGCTGGGCTCCCCTCGAGAAGCGGGATTGGAATGTGCGAAATTGCGAGAGAGTTGGGTTCGATCGGGTGAATTGTAGATCTTGATCCCTTGTTCATCATCGTCGTCGTCGTGAACATCGAGTGCGATTTTGTTGAGGTTTTCTTTCAAACTTGCGATTGTACTCCACATCATTCTATCCCTAGCCAAACTAACAACAGATTTGAATCCAAATCTAGCAGAGGAGATCGTCGGCAAATTCTGCAGAGGAAAAAGAGACGAGTGTATCGATTACTCACAGTTGAAATCTTTTTTTCTTTTTTGTAATAAGGTAGATTCAAATATGAAAGTAGGGGGGGTTATGCTTTCGTTTTTCTTATTTACTACTCTTGAGGAAAGAGAGCGTGTTAAGTAATGAATCACTGTGGGGGCCGTTTGCAACCTGAATCCAATTTAGGGTCCACATTAAACGGGCCAGGCTGTTAATCTGGAGTCTAAGGTGGTGTTTAAGAAGTTTGGGCCTTGGGTTTTTTTTTATTATTTTTACAAAAAGATTAACTTTTTACAAAATTAAAAAAAACACATCCAAACAAAATATCACATCCAACCCTATAATTATTTCACTTTTTTTCTCACTAATATCACATCTAACCACAAAAAAAATCAATTATCTTCCCAAACACAAAAAAAAATTTCTCCAATGATATCCTACAACTAAGAAAATTTACATAAAAACTCACTTTCCAAACACCCACTAAATATGCCCCCGGACTAACTCATCGCTATTGGACCGGGCTGGGTGTAAAACTTTAGGCAATGTTTTTTCCGCCATTTTATTGATTAGACTAAATCATAATTTACTTTTTTCCCTAATTGATATTGAGCCGGAACCAGTGTAAAACTTTAAGATCAAGTCCTATCTAATGGCCTGAAGTAAATTATTTATATCGAGAGAAATATTAGAAATTCATAATTTTAAATTTATAAATTCACCAACAATAATATATCAACAAATTATCATACTATAATCATATGGGTAAAATTATAAAAACATTTTATGAAACCTCATACATTTTTCTTATCCTAATCTTAAAAATAAATCCATGATTGCTAATCCCCAAGCCAATCAAAAAAGAGTTACCGAGGGCAATTGTGTAAATGTGACATAGTTGCTCATCCAAGCCCTACAACACAACCCCATAAAAAGAGGACGTTGCACAAGTGGAATGCGGCCTCGGTTAGAGAAACCAGAATGTTAATTTATTTTTAGCTCTGCGCCTCTTCAAGCCCGCTCAATTTGTCTCTGACTCTTGTTGATTTTTTTTATTAGTTCGATCGATCTTTAAAATCATTTTCGACTATAGAGAATAGATGCGATGAAGAGTGAAAATGAAGAGAAGATCTGATTGTGGGGTGCTTAACATCTTTCTCGCAATATGAAGCTCTTTACCATGTGGTTCGTATTCACTGAGCACTCAATTCTCTTCTTCACAAATGAGTTTTTATTGTTTTTGTTTTTGTTGATTCATAAATATTTAACGAAGTGCGAAATAGATGTGCTTTCGGCCAAGTTTGCCTTCGAACATTGATAATGAGAAATGCAGATCGCCGAATGGCAAGTTCAACTCTTTCCAAATCCTGTTCGGTTCCTTTTTACAGAGCTGATCTCTTACAAAACCGTAATTCATAATTCTTATTTTCTTTTTCTTTTTCTCTCTCTCTCTCTATGTAACCGAGAGGGTAACTACTCTAGAACGAGACCTCTCTAACAGTAAATACACATTCCTTTGCAAAGTGATTTGCCGAATCGTAGGATTCTCCAATTGATTTCTGGTTTGGCGCGTCTTGAACCCTCAGCTACATTTCTGGTCGCTAAATTATTATTATGATATTAGGAAATAACATGAGCAAAATTCTGGTTGCTAATTTTCTAACCTAACCCGATCCCACTCCCCAGGTGGGTTTTCATTATTAGAAACCATATTGACATGAAACATAACACCATTTATTTATTTTTTCTTTCTTGTATTAATTCTTTTTTTTTTCCTTTAAAATTTAGTCTTTATTTTTTAAAATTTATGGTTGTGTTCAGTTTAGTTTTGGAATTGTGATTCTTTTTTTGGAATTGTGATTTGAGTGTGGAAGTATGAGTTGAGTTTTGAATGAGAAAATTTGTTTGGTTATGAGTTTTGAAAAGTATTTTTAAATTTAGAATTTTGAAAAGAGTTTTGAATTGTATTTTGAGTTGAGTTTTTGAATTTTGAGCTGTATTTTGAATTTTTTAGATTTATTTTTTTAAAATATTAAAAAATATTTAAGAAAATTTTATTTTTTTACTTAATTTTTTTTTAAATAATTTATTTTATTTTGTAAATATTTTAATTTTTAATTTTAATATTTTAAACTCAAAACAAAAATTCGACACTCAAATCATAACCAAACACCTAGCTCAAAACTCAATTCAAATATTAATTTTAAAACTCAAGACAAAACACATAACTCAAAACTCTATATTACTTTAACCAACACATAACAAAAAAATTAAAATATTTAAAAATATATTTATAAAATAAAATAAAAATATTTAAAATAAATTAATAAATATTTAAAATATAAAATATTTATCCTAAAAAAATAAATTAAGAAAATTTTTAAATATAAAAAAAATAAATTCAAAATTTTAGAATACAATTTAAAATTTAACATACAATTTAAAACTCTTTTCAAAATTCATAATCAAACAAATTCTCTTTTTAAAACTCAATTCAAAACTTATAATTTAAAATACGACTCCACACTCAAATCATGATTCTAAAAATAATTTTAGAAAACAAAATAAAAAAAAAAATTTTGATTTTTTTCTTTTAGAAAAAAGTTTTGAAAAGAGTATGATTTTGAGTTTAGAAAAAAGTTTTGATTTGAGTTTTGAGTTGTGTGTTTGATTATGAGTTTTAAAATTAATTTTTGAATTGAGTTTTGAGTAATTTGAGTTCTATGTTTGGTTATGAATTTTAAAAAGTGATTCGAAAATTTTGCCTTTGGAATCATGTGATTCCAAAGGCAAACCAAACACTGCCCATGTCTTTCAAATTCTAACTTCCCCCCTCCCTCTTTCAAATTCATTGAAATAGTTCAAGCGTCAAAATATGTTGTCTTGGTGAGTCATATACATGCACAACATCTCATATTTGTCACAATCAAATTTTCTAGACTCGTACAGATCAGAGCAGAGAATAAACACAAGAATATTCAAACATGGTACCAAATAATTTGTTGGAAAATTGACTCGTGATCATTGATTCATTAACACATCTCCACACAACATTTCTGTTTTGGAAAAGCTTCCAATCGAATTTGACTAGACAATTAAGAATGCCATTCAGTTGCCTCCCTCAATGTTTGCTGCTGCAGTTGATCTTCTGGTCTCTCTCACATAAATAAGATGCTGTGTATGTCATATTTTGTGGTAGTTGTGTATTGCCTCTCTTAAATCCCTCCCCACATCCGCTTCTTGCTCAATCAATTACGTTGCAGTAGTAATATTGAAAATTTGGTGCAGCTGCTGACATATTCTTGTGGAGGAACAAGAAGATATCTGCTGGTGTCCTTGTGGGGGCCACTGCAATCTGGATCCTGTTCGAATTGGTCGAATACCACCTTCTTACTCTAGTGTGCCATATATTGATATTGTTGCTTGCAACCTTGTTCCTATGGTCCAATGCAACAACATTCATCAAGAAGTAAGCTCATTATTAGGACTTTGTTTTGACTTGTTGCTATGATGAATTTATAGTCTAAATCTTTCATCTACAGGTCTTCTCCACATATTCCAGAAGTTCAGCTCCCGGAGGAACCATTCCTTGAAGTTGCTTCTGCTTTAAGGATTGAAATTAACCGAGCTCTTGCTGTGTTGCGAGATATTGCGTCCGGAAAGGATCTAAAGAAGTTTCTCGGAGTACGTTATCTTACAATTTTTTATTTTTCTAGTCTGTGCTTTTTTTCCCAAAATGTACATTTTCCTGAATGAACTTGGTTGCCTCGTGGACTGGTAATGAATAAGTACATCATTTAACATAGCTGCTTTTAATCATGGGGGAATTAAAGCTGGCATGGCTCTGTTTCGGGGTTGAAGTGATTTGGCTTTAATTAGCACAGATGTATCCCCGGAATAAATTGCCTCATATGTCATAAGATTATAGTTGGTTTTAGACAATTCAGATTTGCTTCTCAGTTTAAATATTGTTCCACTGAATTTCAACTTGAATAACTAACATTATGTTTTGTAACAATAAAAGTAAAAAGATTAAATTGCCAGCTTACCCACATCATGAATTTTTATGTAGTATGCATAGTTTTGAAGTAGTGGCTGGTCCTCTAAAAAGCACATATACGGATACATGACACGACACTAACACACTGACATGTAAATTTTCAAAAACTGTAAGACACGACACATGGGGATACAGAATAAATAATTTTATATATTTTGTCCTATATAAAGATAAATAATTATTACACATCATTTATATAAATATTTAAGTCAAAAGATTATCATTTTTAAAATATAAAAGAAGATATCAAATATAAATTTACATTGTATTCGTTTTATTATTGGATTTTAAGTTGTTTTGATTCCTAGTGCCTGTGGATGTTGGAATTCATTAGTTGGTCTAAACCAATTCCTGAATTTTGTATGCTAAGGGTGTGTGTGTGTTTAATTATTTTCTTTTAAGAGATTGTTTTGGTAAACAGGTGATTGTTGGCTTGTGGATACCTTCAATTTTGGGAAGTTGCTGCAATTTCTTGACATTGCTCTACATATGTAATGACAACAAACTTATTTTTTGTTTTTGGATATATTAAATGTAGGCTTTTGTTTATAGACTATACCTAGTCTTAGTTATTGTGATTTTGATGAAACAGCTGTGGTATTGCTGCACACGGTGCCTGTACTATATGAGAAGTATGAGGACCAAGTTGATTCGCTTTCAGAGAAAGCAATGATCGAGATCAAGAAACAGTATGCAGTGTTTGATTCCAAGGTTCTCAGTAAAATTCCAAGAGGACCATTGAAAGACAAGAAAAGGGTTTAGGAAAGCCGAGATAGTCAATGTGCAATAGATGTTTGGGTTGTTGTAAGTTTGTGGATGATTGTTGTGCCGTTTTGCCTATCTTTGTTAGTTTCATGTTTTCGTTTTGTTCACTGCTTCTATAAGCAATATCAATAGTGTTTGTTTGCCTGCACATCAACCTTAGGTGATTTCTCATCAATGTTATTAGTTTGAAATAGTTGTCTTTATTTAGAGTCTTGTAAATGGTTATTGCTTCTCTAGATGTGTGCCTTATGGGAGAGGGACTCTTGTTCCCTCAGATGGTCCACGATAAGATATGATTTATTGTTTATTTTTTTAGTTCTTTGCGTAAATCATTTATATATATTGTAATCACATAATTTTATTATCTTTATTTTTGCATAGAAACGCTGCAGACCCACAATTTATGATTCATAAATTCAGCTTCAATGATGCATAAACTTAAACTACAATTTAAGATTTATAAATTCAGCTTCAATGATGCATAAAATTCATCTACAATAATTTAGCAAGAGTTGGACATTTTGAGTTAAATTCAAAAATCAAACATTTTTATTTTTTGTAATTGATTTATTTGGTAGCGCTAGTGATGTTGACACTAGAGACTTGGATGGTGTTTGAAATTGATTTTTCTAGTATATTTTTTTTTAATTTATAAAATGACCTGTAAAAAATAAGGAAAAAAAAAATTTGTTGTAATTTTTGATTTCTTTTTTTTTTTTTTTGGCTTGCTCCCAAGCCAACCTTTACGATTCTATTGTGGCTATCTTGTTTTCAATTCTAATATTAGGTTCTTCATAAAAAAAAAAATGGCTTGCTAAACTCGCCCTTTCGAGACCATGTATTTGATTATGTCACCCTTGCATCATGAACTTGAGAATAGATTTATGGAAAGAAATGAAAATGTGAATTTTAACTGATATTTTATTTACATTTCTATTATTTTGTTCTCTTCACAAATTTCTCTCTAAATCCAAAGATCTGAGTACAAACGTCGCGTAATTTTCACAAACAATGAAATATATAAAAAACACGTGTTCTTTATATACTACAGAAACATCTGGAGATCCCTTTGCAATTCCCTTACCCAAAGTTCAGTTCATGTCCAGAATCAAATTTGACATGTACAAAGTAAACTCTTAACGTCCTCCACAGGTGGAAGAATATGAATCTATAATTTACCCATTTGTGTGGTGATATGATTTTGTTATGGGTGCAACAATAACTTGCTACCCACCCATTTTAACAGAAGGATTAAAGAATTGACCAAACACAACAAAAAAAAATATTAAAAATACCTTCTACTTAATTACAAAATCCAACACACTATCAATATCTTCTTGAAAACTGAGAAGCACGCTCTGAAGATGTTAAAGGAACTGTTGAAAACTCAGAATCAGAGTGTTCAGACTGCAGTATGTTTCCACGCGAGGGCAAGGGGCTTCTGTTCTGGTTCAGGGATGGGCTTAAATTGGAGAAAGCGGCAGTGGTGGCATTCGTTCTCTGATCAGGCACCGGTGAAGCACTCCCCATATCATTTGGACTTCTTTTCTGTTGATCCTCCTTCGATGCATTGGCTTCTGCGGATTCCCTCCTCTCTCTTTCTTCAGTTTCTTTGAGAAGGAAATCGACCCAAAGATCTGCAAAGGACTGGAAACACAGCAAGCGTGAATATAGTTGCATTCTATGCTAAATAGACAGAATATTTGGAAGAAAATACAATAGATACCAGAAATATACAAGTTACAGTGGAAATAATCACAATAATGATCATCATAAAATTGCCAAACCTCCAAATACAGAGAATTCTATGGTTAATACCTAAAAAGAGTTCAAGATTACAAGGAAAAACTCCAAGTCTGAAAAGTTTATGATGTGATATGTACTAGAGCATAGGCGGCTGTTATTCCAATTGCAGAGTCCAAACAATGGCAGTAATCTGGTCGGACAAAAACAAATATAAAAGAATTACAATCATTAAGAAGAAACAATACCTGGTTTTCCGATGCCATATTTTGATTAGCTTCAGCTGAACTACCACCCAAGAAGCCACCAACTAGCCGACCTGGTAGACCCAGAACGCCACGAACAACACCTTTACCACCTTGCTGAGCAACACCTATCCTCTGCTTATCTTCATCAGAGAATCCCAGCATGCGAACCATAAGATCCAGAACCTGGCACCACCAATCCAAGTCAGTCAGTGCCATAAGCATTGAAGAGAGCAGCTACTTTAACAAGAATGGAGGAAGCAGTGGTGACGAAAATAGTAAAATATTATATGCATCTTCTGTGCCCATAAACATTAATGTAGACAATACTAGAGAAACTAGAATGAGATGGATTTATTCACCCCAAATTAGAGAGTTGCTATCACTTCAGAGTATTACAGAAATTGATTGAACTAATACTTCATGTAAACAAAATGCAGCTAGTCCAGTCCCTCCCGGAACGCCCCGAATTATAAAGGCCAACACAGGGTAATGGTCCCATTTTTGTGTGGCCAATCCTTATTTTTTTATTTTACATTCGAGCACAAGAGAGGCAGGTTTTTTTTCCACCCCCCAATATGCATACATAGCTATATACATATATTGAGAGATCGAAAATCCTATTATTAAATTATTACCTCTTTGCTGTGGTTTCTTTGGAAGTAGGTCACCAACAACTTTATCACAATTCGCCTGCCAAAATGTCAGACATCTGTCAATACCACTTGAAGTTTCCATAATATGACAAGTGTATGCAGCTACCAAAATATACAAAAACTGACATTCCACTAAGTGTTGTACCCAATATCTAACAAAGAACCATATAAAGAAAAATCATGGACCTAACTTTTAAAAATGGACAAAAAGCAATTCAGATGGCAAAGGTTGTAACTGGTAGTGGTGCAAGCTAGCAGTAGTGTGGTTGCTTGCAAGCCAAGTTCTATACCTGATGATTTAACAATGGAAGACCAACAAAGGGGCAATAATGCTACACTTATCATGTTTTTATACCATATTTTGTTTACCATCTGATATGGCATATCCATCACCGTTGGATATTAATCAGATGGTAAGAAAAATGTGATATAAATCATGATAAGTGAAGCATTTTTGATAAAATGCAGTGTCTTCACTCAAACAGTAAATAAGGACCATCATTCAAATACCATGGTGGCAGTATAAGAGGCAGTGATAATGGGGCGTGATATATTGAAAATAGTCTAGGGATTTGATAAGTTTACTGTCCGGTTTCTGTGCATCATTAGGAGAGAATTTAATCCGTCTTTGTGACTCCAGCTTCATATTGTGAAACCCAAAAGTTTGAATAATCTCAGCAACATTCAAATCAAAGTTTGAATGGCAAAGAGATCCAAAAGGCAGAGAATTTAACGCGGGAAAAAATAAATAAATATACCATGAATTGTTTTTTCAATGAATATTTCACGTAGTAAACTGGATGTAGAAAGGGAAAAAACAAATAAAGATATCATTATTAGTTATTTTAATGAATATTTTCTGATAGTGAGCTGGATGTGGCAAACTCATTAGTTGAATTTGAGCTTGCCTACAGGTGTATGCATGTGAATATGTGCAACCAGCTATCTAGCACCCAGAAAATAATGCAAACTAAAAGGTATCTTTATCTTTCAAACTAATAAAATTCCCAACACACAATAACAAAAAATTTGAACATAAAGGCTAACCTGTCAACAAAATAATCAGAGTCCATTGACATCCTATTAAGTCTTGACATACTTTGCTCAAGAGCACGACGTAGTTTTGCATTGTCTTCCTCGAGCTTATTTACTCTGTTTCTTCCTTCTGCTAGTATCCTTTCAGATTGTGAAAGCTTTTCCAAGATATCTTCCTTCTCCTTCCGTGATATCTCTGCCTTTTGATGTGCATCCTGGTGAAAGCAAAGACATTTTCATACACAAGAAACTGGGGAAAGAAAATTACCTTTACATTTATCCAAAAATACTTCCATGCTTTTAAGCTCAGTACAAAATCTCAGATTAACAACAAAAACTTAATCAACAAATAGACCATATAATAAAAAAAACCTATAGAGAGACAAATGTCATTCAAATAAAGTGAAAACCTGTTTAAATATATGGGCTAAAAATGTTGGTGACATTTATATTGCACATACACACAACCAGGTCCATTGTAAATTCCACTATCAAATGATGAAAAGGACTAATATTGATGCATCATTGGATCACCATTACAAATGAAAATGAACAAATAAATTTGTTATAATTCTAAAACAAATGCAATACAGAAAATGAAACCATAACACTGAGAAGTGAAAAAAGTACCGAACCTTCAAAAGCTCAGCAAGTTTAGCTGATTCTTCTCTTGCATGTGCCAGATCTCCTTCCAAATGTTCCTGACCACATATAAATGGAATCAACATAAAAGCCACAATTTGAAGACTGGATGGGACTAGCTTGCCTATTGTGTTTATTAAAGCAAACAAGAAGAGATAATGTTTACCTTAGCTTCAAGTTCAGCATAGTATGAGCCTAAAGCAGTTTGAAGATTTAGAAGTTCAACGTTTTTGGCATCTATTGTACTCATACAGCTTGTCAATTTTCTATTTAGGTCATCAATGATTTCCTTGTACTTTTGAAGTTCATTGTTGTTGATCATCTTAACCTCCTCTTGACCTGCAATTGCCTGCTTCAGAGCTTTCTCCAAATGTAGTATTTGTAGTCTCTGATACTCGTTTTTTTCTTTAAGCTCTTCAATGATCTTGCTGTCCTCATCCATCTTTTCTGATTCCTCAATTTCCTAGACAATATTGCAGCAAGAGAAACCATCTTCAATTTTGACTGCAGAAATTTTAAAAAATAAAGTTTACTTGAGACAGAAAGAATCCAGGATCCACCTAGAATCTATTACAATACTGGTGCCAGAAACAAGAAAATTGATTTTTCAAGATCCAGTCTAACAGAACCCCAAATTCAAAAATACATAAATGCTAAGAAAAGGCAAGGCACAACACTCTGATGACGCTGTAATCTATATATATATCAAATTAACTTTGAAGTGCACAACCAGACAAATAAAATATAGTTACATCCAAACACTAAATAAAACTTCTGAATTATAAGAAATAAATCATGATGATTGCTTAGCCTGGTTAGGTTCTTTGTCAAATATATACTTTGAAACTTCTTCCCCTAGTCTAACTTATACTATTACATATGTGAAGGCTTCTTATGGTGTTGACCCAAAATGTCTCATATTTTGGATTTTTCCAAAACACCCTTATATTTGGTGTTTTTATAAAATTATATAAAGACGATGGGGCTCGAATCCAAGACCATAGATTTGATAAATAAGACTCTTACCACTTGAGAAACAGATACTATAAATACATTTTTTGTCATTATTCTTATAATATTACTTTTCTTCAAGTTTTTCACAAATACAGGGGTCATAGTCAACCATTCAGACATGTTAACCTTACAATAAAAGTTAGAAAGAAGATCATGCTTAGCACAAGACAGCAGAACATGGTAAACAGTAGAGAAGTTGTGATGTCCAACCTTATCTAATAAATGCTTCTTAAGCCGGCTCAGTTCTTGTAATGCTTTGTCCCTTTGTTGGCCAGTCTCCTTCAAATCTTTCTCCAGTTTTTGCAGAGATAGTTCCATCTCTTCTTTTCCAGGAAAACTTCCCAATGACTGGACATTCTGCACGGAAACAACTATTGGCATGATGAGAAGCATGAACCACCAATTTGCATACTACAATGTTGTTGAACATTATTGTAATGCAAAACTAAACAAATGCAGCAGAAATTTTGGAAAATGTCATGCGGCACCTATAAGAACTTGGGTATAAAATAAAGGTCATCCCTACAACCTCCACAACTTCCAATGTATTATTTAGTACCTAATGGAGCATTATCGTGTTTTTCATACATCACGAAATTACATATTTTAAATAATACCCAAAATGAAATGTTGCCTTGGACTAGTGATAACTTGGGATTTATTATAAAGAAAATGTAAAGGAAGAAGCCTCATTGTGTAAATAAAAAAGGGAATATTGAAGCTATAAATCCTCTAAATCTTATGACGTAATATTCAATCCAATAATCTTGAATCATTTAAACATAAATTTGATGTGTCTAGCAATATTGAATTCAACTTTTAAGTTTTAGCATAACTCTATAAATTGAGATATAAAAGATGACATATGATTAATATGATTTTCTACTTTTACAACGAAAAAAGGAGGCTAGAAAATGAAAAGTGAAAAACAATTTCTTGTGACCTAATAGATCTCAGTCAAGTGTTTGAATATATAAAAAAAACTTTTCTGAATAAAAATAATTTATTTTGCCCCCACACCCCAAAACAAATTCACGATCAGCCACTAAACAACTGCATTTATAGTACACAAAATGCATCGATTCATTTATATGCCCAAAAAAAAAGAACATTTTTTGCCCTACAGTTTCCAAAGCTGTAGCAAACCACCTCACTCAAACTGGTCGACTGCTTATTTGAATTCTCGTTGGCTGCTTTCAAGGAAGTTTCAAGTTCAACCTTCGCCATCTACCACAAATAAGACAACATTAAAATAGGTTCAAGAAGCAAGATTGCTAACAATGTTAATTTGAGCTTTATAATCCAATATTTAACGAGATGCCTGAAAAACTTTAGGAGATGAAATGTGCAGAAGTCACTAGAAAATAAATGAATACAGATATGTATTAACCTTAAGACTGTTGTTTTCTTTCTCTAAGGCTGCAATTACTCTTTTCAAACCCTCCGCAGTGTCATCTGCCTCTATGTTGTCCCTTCTATTCAATTCCATTTGTAATCGTCTTACTTCTGATATTTTCTCATTCAATACATCACGAATTTTTTTCATCTCAATGGTGCTCTGCAAGAAGGGGCAACACCAGGGGGGAGGGGGAGATAACAAAAGTAAAGGTTAGATTGCAATAACCAATTAAAAACTATGCCGAAATAAAGATGCTCAAGTAAAGACACTTTGAAACATATAAAAAGAAATTGAAAAAATTCAAACCAGTGCCACATTACTAAGAACTGTTTTAAATTCATAGAACTCTACAATCCCTGGGTATGTTTAATAATATTAATATATTACACAAACTTTGTTGATGTATAGTATAAATCATGTCATGCATGCTACTTTGTATTCATGCACGCTACTTTGTATTAATGCACGTTCAAAATTTCCAGTACTATATGCTACAGACACTAGCAAAGTGAAAAAATCCACGTAGACAACACCTAGGGCCTATTTGTTAACAAAAAGAATTTAAGTTAATCCCTTCACCATAATCCTCATTTCAGTTAAACTACTAGTTTTGATTTGTCTTGTCAAGGAAATAGAAACCAGAATGTTATAATCACCAGTAAGTCTACTAATAAGAAATGGCAGATCCTTGTCAAGGATCTGAACCTCTCCCCGAAGATGTTCCAGCCAACACAGAATAGGGAACATTTATGGTCTGGTTAACAAACCTGACAAGATGAAACACTTAGGGTTAACCTCAGAGATGTTTATGTTAGATTATGATCTTATTGTCTATGTTACATGGACTCGAGGGTATGGGTGTTACCCGCATATCTAGAAATCAGACCCAACAAACTTTAAATTTAAGGATATACAGATCAGCAAAAAAGGATCAAATTTTTATATTTATGGTGTTATATGTGACATATAGTCTCAAATAGGTATTTTACTCATTTTATAGCAATTATACAACAATATATACATAAAATAATAGTTATAAAATGCATATATATAAAAGTATTGGGCACATCCCACACCCTTGACCAAGTGTCGGGTGTTAGACACAAAGATTTGATTTATTGTGAAAAGTCCATGTAGCATAGGTTATTGTTTCACTAGAATAGACAACAAATAAAAATTTGAGAAATCCTTTGCAAATACAAAATAATAAAAAAGAGAATTAATTGATAACCAATTTTACATAAATAATGTTAGAACGGGCCGACTAGCCATCAATTCTAATAGAAAGGAACCTGATTCAGAACTCACTTTGTCCTTGTCCACTTTTAACAAGTTCAATTCATCCTGAAAAGATCCATTCAACTTCTGTTCGTCTAGGAATGAAAAAGAGGATCAGTCGGGAAATATAAGACGAGAAAATGAGATATTACAATTGGACATTAAAAGAAAGGGAAGTACCTTGTAGTTGTAGGTGTATATTTGCTAACTTGCCACGTTCTTTCTCAAGTTCCAATCCTAATTTTTTAATTTGAGACTCGAGATCTGCTTGAATCACTGCCAGAGACCTGTTTTTCTGTTCTAACAAATCTGCAGGGTCCTCCTAGAAGGCATTCATATATTTGTTGTCAGCTTCATTTGTTATGGACCCCCAAAAAAAATTCAAATAATTGACTTCAGGAGAGGCAACAAAACAACATTTACTTCACATAAATGTTTTGCAAACTTGAAAACTTTAGCAAGCTAGCCACTTAGTCTATTTGAAAATTATAATATCAGGATCCAATCTTCAGCACAAAATAGGTGAAGGGTATTCATTTATACTTGTTGGAGTGGAGCAGAACAGAACAGAAAGCCTCATTACCTTTTCATTGCCCTGAATACCGTTGCATAACCCATCCTGTTTAGAGACAAAGCCATTGTTTGATTGGTTGCCGATAGGTCGATTTTTTACAATGGCCTTGTACTGCCGATTGGGTGAGTGATCACTACTACCCTGGACAAATTCTAGATGAGATCAACCAATGCCCAATTCAAATATGAACACTTACAAGGCTCCTCTTATAAAGTTTAAATGTTTATGAACAGAAAAAAGATATCAAACAAATAGAATTATATTCCTACTCTAGTGCAGCACAATCTTAATAGCAGCAATAATAACAATAAAATTATTCAGCTCGTTAATTATCTGGGACAAAAATTCCACAGCTTCCAAGTAAAGAAACAATTGTTCACAGCATTATATGTTATATATATGTATATAAGATGATATCTAGATGCCGAAGTTAAATCGTTTCAACTTATCACAAGCATGGAAATTGGGTCTGTAATTGGTAAACCTAATGGAGTAAAAAAAAAAGAAAAAAAAGAGTCCTAATAATAAGATCAAGAGCATATGTCCATTCTTGTGCAGTATGATCTAGTACATTCATCCAGATCCTGAAACAATTTCAAACTACTTAGAGAATATAAAAGGAAGAAGCCTTGTAATGAATCTGGAATATGGCTTGTGCTAATGATGGGAAGATTGTACACCTAATTGAGATGGCCACTTTGCTTATGCATAAGGGACTCAAACAGGTGCAAATATAGACATTTTATAGATTTTATTTCTTTCTGTGCTGCCAAGGAAGACAGGAATTTTGTAAGGGATAACCTTTCCTATTATATCCCCTTGGGGGACAACAGGGGAGTAATAACCAAGTCTCTTATGAGTTATGAGTGACATAAATTCTAAGAAAAGATTATGTAGACTGAAAGCCATCCTATTTCGACTTAAGTAAATTATCATTATCAGGCTTTAGTTGCCTTTGAAGATGTATCAAAGATAAGATAATGAGAGAGTTCAATTACCCCCTCGCCCTCCACAGAACACCTACCCCATGGCCTTTGAGGGCAAGGGTAGCTAGCTCTCTGAACACTGAGTCTCTTAAGAAGGTGGATTTTCATCTTTTACAATTAGCATCTAAGGCTAAGTATGGATATTTTTAAGAAGATGATGGACATGAATCAGAAACCAACACTCTTTGGACACACCCCAACATGTGTCGGACACCCATCGAAACGTGTTGTCTTGTTTTAAATTTTATTTATAACCATAGACTTTTGGACACTTACAGAAAACAAGTCTACATCTTGCACACGAGTCTTGGCATGAATTTGAAGAAAATAACTGAGGGTCAAACGATTTCAAAACATTGGACAGTTATGCCTACTAATTGCCTAAAACTAAAAACTACTAATTTGTTTGGAAATAAAGTTTTTCAAAATAGATATTAGGACTTTTAGCTCACACTTTTCAAAAATATGAAATGTAAAAAATGATTTATTACTATTTTGATATAACAGTATATAAATATATGTGTACTATAAAAATAAATAATGTGGTATTATTTTATGTATATATAAAAATTATAAAAATATATATTTGTCATAGTATCCTGCCATGTCTTGTTCTAGTTTTTAAAAAATTGCGGTGTCAGCTTTCCTGTATTATATCATATTCGCGCCCCATGTCTATATACGTGCTGCTTAGATCTTAGGTGACTCATTTTATGTAATCATTTCTAAACACTGAAACTGAGACCTATATGACCAATCAAACAATATGGCAGTGAGACCTGAAAATGGGAAGTACAAAAAAACCATGTAGTGCTGCTACATGTGATTTGTTTCATAAGATACACAGGACAATTACAGCACATACCACCAAAGGCAATTGTGTTCCTGTCACTCGCAAAATTGACACCAAGCATATTCCATTAAAATTTAAAAGTTGGAGAAAGGCAATGCCATGGCAGGCTTAAATAGCCCAAAACTTAACAAGAAGAATCCAAATGAGAACTCTTCAAATGATTCATTCATGTAGCCAACACAAATATTCAGGACAGGTCTTTCTTGAGTTAGAACTCTTTAAATGTAACAACTCCTCCAAAGTAAAATAACTTCAAAATTCAAGTGATACCTTGAGCCCGTTAAGGCTATTTGTCGATGTCTTCAAACTCTCATTTCTAGATGCATTTAGGGTAGCATTTGTTGCATCCAGATTTTGCTTCAACAAGCCATTTTCTTCATTCAATCTTGAAATCCAATCCTGTCACATGAAATTTTTTAAAGAAAAAAAATGTCATTCTTCAAAACAACATAATAAGGATAATGGTCTCTAGAAAGCATGCAAATCATTCTCAAATAATATAAAAACAACCATTACAAGCAGATCAGTTGGGTATAACAATTCGTCAAGTGGTTCAAAAATAGTGGAAACAAACCAGTGTGCATAAAAATATTAAGGAGATAAAATTTACAATTTTCTGAGTCCACGTAAACAAATCAGGTTTAGTTATTCAAGCAGTTCATAGGAGCTGAGTTCCATAATTAAAAAATATATATATGAATATTGCAGTCATATTCAGCATATTACTCTCTGCAAAAAAATTGATATCAAATTGGTAACCTACAGTTTGAAAAGAAATAGTAATAGTTCAACAACTGAAACCATGAATTATAGAGTTTTCATAATTTCTATGGCAAGATTCACATAAAGCCAGTGAGTGTCCACTGCAGTCCCCACTCCCCACAATGCACCAGAGTCGTCATCTATCAAACTCCATCCACAGAGGAGGGTGGGTCATTAACCACAGGTTGCACTGTACAAACGTAACTAAACAGGAACTATCCAAGCTCAGCAATTAGAGGTCTACCAGTCAGCTTGATACGAGCACATGATGCACCGCTTTGAACTGGTTGTTGAGCTAAGTTAACCCAATTCTCCGCTTTAAATGGTCAACTTAAAGGACTGAACCAGCTAGGTGGCTAGGTGCTACAGGACTGTACAACCAACACTTTGAACACTTCGACTGCGATCACAGTCATACACCCCTTTCCTCCACAGGTCCAACTTGTCATGGTACCAACTATTAAGGTTGGTTGAGGACAATGACGATTGTCACGAATTTCACAATATTTTAGTATAAAACAAAGAATCATTATCTATGAGACATCCAATAAATAATTTAAATATACCCCAGTTGTGTTGCGTTCTGTCAAAAGAAGACCACACAATATCTTACAAGTCAAACATATTTTGATATTGAACCTAACACCTAAAAATATTACTAGCTTTCAAGCTCAGACATAAACAGCAAACCATGTTGGTCCCAAATGTAAACCTTCAATAACCAACCCTAGCTATAAAATATAAAGCATTGTAATAAATTTTTTTTAAAAAAAATAAAAATAAAAAAACAAACAAACAAATACCTCTTTTTCCTTCAAAAGAGCTGCATAATTAACTGATAACACCTTAATTTCTGCCTCAGATTCCTGAAGCCTCTTGATTTGTGCTTTGTATTGCTCAATCTGCAACCACCGCGGAAATAAGAAATTGCATATCATTCACCAAAAAGAACTCCATCAGATAATAATTTATACTAGCATTCACAAGAAACTAGCTTATGACTCGTGAATTCAAGAAGTATAACTCAGTTGGGTTTAACCTGGACTGAAAATTGTGGAGGGCATGAGCAGCTTCATTTGAACAGGAAGACTTGCATAGATAAATCTCAACAAAACATTAATCTGGATTGGGCATGCACTAAGGCCTTGGCAGCCCAAGCCTGACCATGAAATATTATACTACTGTATTATAAGTTAAAATATTTTGGTTGACCTTTTGAGCCATTTGAATTGTTGATTATAAGGTTGTAACATTAACTCAAGTATCCATACTGCACAGCTCTTCTTCCATTTAAATATCCCCCATTTATCATAGTCTCAAGTTTTAACAATAGTTACCACTCCCTCCTCCCTCTCTTTAATAAATTATGTAGAGGGATGAAAAATACACCCAAATGTATGTTTTGGCTTCGTCTTGCATAACAACAGCCAAAGTACTAGCCAATAAACCTAACCCTAAATCAGTGTTTCACAACACACTAGCATGTATCTAACACAAAAAGGTTCAATGCAACTTGTAATAGTTTGATGTTTTCATCTTTTGTTCATCTTCCTGATCATATTCAAGCTTAGAAAAATAATAGAGTGAATCACTCCATCTATGAAACCAAATTTAAGCAGCCTGAACCTAATCAAGTCCATTATAACTGGGTCCAGCTTGGGTTGAAAATCGCAGATTGATGGCCGTGTTCAATCAGGATTCAGATAAAAGGTAGTTATGCCTCAGGTTGGGACTGAGCTGACTTTCAACGTGACTAAACATGCTCAAGTTGCAGCAACAGACTAGTAAATCCTATCAAGCAAAATACCAAGGAATGTACATGACATATTTGCCTGGCATAAATCTATAAGATATATTCCTGCCTGCTCATGAGCTTTGTCAAGAATGGTATTTTGGCATCCACAATGTAAACTGCCACAAATAGGGCTCTGGTTATAGCTTAAATTACAAGAGATTGTGATGCAATCACTAATCTGAATCGAAGCCTTGATTATAAGTGATTATAAGCGTTGTATTATAATTCTTTTTTTTTCATAAAATTAATTTGACTAAAAACTGCATTTCTTCATAATTCCTTAAACCATTTATGCATTTCTTCTGAATGGCTTGTGCGCCTCTCTTTTTCCACCCGAACTGCCCCGTGAAAGCTCAACACTGACGTTCTTCAACCTCCTGTATTTTGACATTAAAACACTCCGCCCCAAAACATGCAATCCAGATGGCAGAATGCTAAGTGATTAAACCGTATACAACCTTACCAGAAACTGATCTGGAAACCCTTACCTGGACTCACAAACACAAATGATATCTGAGATATATGATTCACGTGTAGTACTTTTCAAGTGCATACCGAATTCCATTACCAAATTCATTACCATAACTCTACAGATCCAAAGATCTACCCTAAAAACATTGAATCATAACCTATAACAGAGAAACCAAGATAATCTAAGTTTAGGAAGAAATTAATAGACAATGGAGTACCTGTGAAATCTACACCAACCCTAAATGATATCTGAGATATACCACGTGTAGTAATTTTCAATTAAATACCAAATTCCAGTAACAAATTCACAAAATTCTACAAATCCAAAGATCTCGCCTAAAAAATATATTCACATACCTCGGAATTGTGATGGGAATCGAATCCATTGGCAAGGGGAGATCGAGAAGCGGGACTGGAATGCGAGAAATTGCGAGAGAGTCGGGTTCGATCGGGTGAATTGTAGATCTCAATCCCTTGTTCATCATCGTCATCGTCGTCGTGAACATCGAGTGCGATTTTGTTGAGGTTTTCTTTCAAATTAGCGATTGTACTCCACATCATTCGATCCCTAGCCAAACTAACAACAGATTTGAATCCAAATCTAGCAGAGGAGATCGTCGGCAAATTCAGCAGAGGAAAAAGAGACGAGTGTATCGATTATTCACAGTCGAAATCGATTTTTTTGTTGTTTTTGTAATGAGGTAGATCCAAATATGAAAGAAGGGGGGTTACGCTTTCGTTTTTCTTATTTACTACTCGGGAAGAGAGCTAGTGTGGGCCGTTTAATACCCGAATCCAATTTAGGATCCACATTAAACGGGCCAGGCTGTTAATCTGAAGTCCAAATACGGCCGGGACTAGGGGTGAGCATAGTCCGTATTAATTTGGAGTGGGATAAAATTTGAATCAATTTGTTATTTATGATTCTTAAAAATCGAAATCAATTTAATCCGTTTAAATTGTTGAACTAATTCGAATCAATCCATTTAAATACGGATTAAATTGGTTTAGGACCATGAATTTATATAAATAAATAACAAAAAATAGAACATTTTAATTTCATAAAAATATAAACATAGTATCAAACAAAAGCAATAAACAAAGGTAACAAACAAAAGCAATAAAATTTGATACACATTACACAAAGCAAAGTTCTCATTTGTATTAAAACTAAACATAACATCAAACAAAATTAATAAGAAAATATAGTTTTAGACAAGCAAAAGTAACAAAACTCCATGAAACTTTTGGAAGTGACATACAAAGAATCAGACAAGCGAACAGTTGCATCGTAAAACTTTTGCAAAAATTGTGTAAAAACACAAACATCTTCCCAATCTTGAGTGGTAGGAGGTCCATGATTAAATTACAGTTTCAAATGTGGGTCCTTATCCTCTAATCTCTCAAAAACCAAAGAAAAAGATTAGTAGGAACTTTTTACTTACATTTACTGAATCTATTAAAGAAAAGATCAACAATAATATGAACAATTGATTTAAGAGTGTAGACTTCACTGAATATCTCCGATCTGAGATTGAATCACCAATTTGGTATGAAATCCACAAAAAAGTAACCGTGTTAGAAAGAGTGAGATCACCGAGAGAGAAAAAGAGAGGGTTACTGAGTCTGAAAAGAAACCAACAAAAATGGAGTGTTGCTAAGAGAGAGAGAGAGGGAGAGAAAGAGCTCACCGAAAGAGAATTAGAGAAAGAGACCAAGTCGCTACCGATTTGATCTGATATGGAAATCCACCTATCTGATCTAAGATGAAATCACAAGAATAAAAAGAGACCTCAGTCTGAGAGAGAGAAGAGGGAGAGAATATCGAGAGAGAGATGAGAGTGTGAGAGATAGTGGCATGTGATATGTTAAATTAGGGTAAGGGTTTAGCTTTTATATGGAATAAAAAATGATATTATGTGGGAGGGTTTATAGTAGAAATATAGACTATTTGTATACAGTCTAGATCAGTTCTAGATTTCAATCCAGAACCATAAGGTTCAATCCGGAACCGATTCGTGGCCTACGGATTATTAAATTTCTAATCTGGAACCGAACTACAGATTCAAAAGGCCAATCCAAACCTATCGGATTAGACTGGATCGGATCAGATTATGAATTATACGGGTTTCTTGCTTAGCCTTACCGCGAACTAACTTATCGATATTGGACTAGACGGGGTTTAAAACTTTACGCAAAAAGTCTTGCATATTTTTCCCACCTTTAGACCGATTATATATAACTTGTTTCGTATGAATTAAAATAACATATATATTTTTTTTATTTTTTTAATCACATAATTTCTTTGTTTTTGTGATAACCCTCACTACTGATTAGTGCTAATCTTTTATTAGGCATGTTAACTGACTGACTGACTGAATTACTAAATTGATTGATTGTCTGTATCTGTTTAAGTGCATTTCTATCTGTTCGACTGTCAAATTATCTGTTCATGTTTTATGTTTTAAACTGCAAATTGAAGGCCTTATCGGCGGTCGAACCAGAAATTGATTAGCGTTATGTACTAATTAGAATTTATGGGATTTTATGGTATATTTACTTGAAATGTGATTCGGTATGATTAAATTAGATTAAATAGCATTGAAACACAAAAGTCCAAGTATTTACCATAATGCCATGTTAGTGGACCACTTAGGCAACACATATTGAAGCCTTATTACATCCAAACAAAACATTTGTTCAGCCATTCTTGAGCCCTCAACCGACTAAGAGAGAGAGAGTGAGAGAATTGAGTTGTTCTTGAGAGTTTTAGCTTGGAATTTGAAGAATCATAGAAGAGATTGCCTACTTGAGCTTCTAGTCTTATAATTGGAGACTTAAGGTAGAGTTTATACCTTCTTGTTCATGAATTCAAGTCATTTTGTTGCATGGCATGGAGGTCTAGAGATTAAAGACATGAATTAGCTTCATATGTTGAATTAAGAGCTTAATCCATGCATGCATGTTACCATTCTTGAGTTTTGAAGTTAATGTTCATGAAATTCCACATAAATGTTAATATTTTTGCAATAGACCATGAATTCATCTTGTTTTTGAGGAAATTGGCTCATTAGAGCATGTAATTGAAGCTTTGATCTTGGTTAAATACTTGCATGTCACATTAAAGCTATATTCTTGAAATTTGGCTCAAAATTGTGTTTAATTGAACTACCTTTGGGCTTTGATTTCTCAAATTGATCTTCAAAACATATTATATTATGAGTTTTAAAGTGTTTTCCAAAAAATGGGCCCAAAAGGATCGAATTTGATGCTTTAAATGTTGAGTTTCATGCAGGGCACAATGTCCGTTGCGGAATATGAGACGAAATTTACCGAACTTGCCAGATATGCACCACACATGGTGGACACTGACTACAAGAAGGCCAGGCGCTCGAGCGGGGTATTGGACGCTCGAGCGAGGACTTGTGTTATACGCTCGAGCGGTTATCGAGCGCCCAATCGAGCGTGATTTTCACACATCCAGTACTTTTGGCATGTTTTACAGTCCGCTCGAGCGGGGTAACTCGCGCTCGAGCGGAGTATTTTGTTTGCCTGTACGCTCGAGCGGGTAAACCCACGCTCGAACAGGACCCCTATTTTTTGAAAAATTGTTAAATGTTTTTAAAGTGCATCTTTGCATCCTCATTCCATCCTAGGCATTCCTAGGCCTAGTTTAAGGCATCTTAATGAGGATATTGATGTAGAACCACACCGAGCCAAGATAGGAATTAAGTTATTATTTTCCCAACTGTGTAGCTTAGTGTGTGTTCACTCTGTAACTGTGTAGGGTTGGCTTTCGGAGACGCGCTCTAGCTGCTTATCGCCCAGAACTCTGTGAGTAACAATGTTGTAAAAATATGTTCAAAAATGAATATTTTCTGAATGATCAACTGAACTGTTTTTTGAACTGTTTACTGTTAACTGAATGAATGTTTGTCCTCTATTCTTAACTGTATTGTGACATCCTTAGCAACTACTGTTACTGTTACTGCTATTGTTACAGAAATCTCTATCAGTTCCTATCTTGTAACTTCTATTTACTGTTAAGATGGCCATCATTGACTGTTCGGTCTTTTAAGACCTACTATTTACTGTACTGTTCTGCTAATGGATGTACCACATATGACTGTTATAACTGATATACTGATTCAATGAACTGTTTTCGTTACTGTAAGGACATTCATTTTTAACCTCTTTACACATTATGTTATTCACTGAGCTTTAGCTCACTGCTCATATATATATGTAGGTGTACAGGCACCAGACCGTTGCTAGAAGGATTTGGACTCTTTGGTGATTTATCAGTCTTACATTGCACTTTGTGAGATTAGATTCAGAACCGTGACAGGAGTCCAAACAGTAGTACCTAGAACCACAATTCGCGCCCTTGCGCGCAGAGCGGAATTTCGGGCGGTCTACATAGGGCTTCCTTCAAACCTCCGAAAAGGGGCGCAAAAAAGCTGAGCTACAATTTCTAGCGACTCTGCTGGGGATTTAGAGAACTTGACTCGAACTCATGATATGAAATTTTATCTACACTTATGTATTTCTTTGCATTACATTTGCATTGGTGCGCCTAAGTCACTGTGTTTGCCATCTGCTATTCTTGGATAGTTTGCCGAAGGCTTGCTTAAAAGCTTGCCAAAAGGCTGACCAGTTGCGGGCTCTGTCACGATGGGAACACAACCCTTGGATTTGGACTACCACTATACCGTTTGATCCTCCTTTCACTTCTCGGTGTTAGGTGTGAGAGGTATATTAGGTAGTCTTGCTGAGGTACCTTTTTTTGACCATTTTGCCTAGTTACATATCAAAAACCAGAGAGACTGTTCCAAACTAGGACAGGTTGCTTACCTGAATACAGGATTGAGTGAAACCGCATTGCTTGAATAGTGAACCCTAGCTCCTGACGAAACTAGGACAAGGTAACCCTACCCCCTCATAGGGGTGTTTTGGTTCTCATTTAACTGTTATGTGCTTTTAGAGTGAAACTCTATACGCGTATCAGTTACAAGTTTGGGTATCAGATTTTGGGGGCAGAAGTCAGTGTTGAGTGCAGTTCTACAGCTTTTGATTACAACTATGTGTTGCTTACATCTAAGCTGAGGTGCTGTGCGATTTCTGATTTTTGTTTCCTTTTTTGCTTTATTTCTTTTTGCAAGGTAGTTTATCACAATTGCTTCGAATAGTTTAGATATCCCCCAAGCACTCTGGACCCGTGTAAGGAGACTACCGATCCGGAGATCTTGTTAGGGGACAGCCTGTGTTTTTTTTGCTCCCATCGGTTATGAGACGGAGGAAGGTTAGGCATAACTCACCAGTTCAACAATCACCTGCATCTAGTCAGGGATAGTCTTCTGCATCCAGTCCAGTAAGAGACTACTTGTCAATTCTGATGGCTCAACATCCCCCGGTCGGCATAAAGGACTTGATTTGTCATCTCTAGCAAACCATTGAAACTATGCAGCAAGATGCTGCCCACCAAGCTGAAGTTACAGCCTAGCAAGCCGAAGTGATAAATAGGCTGCAACAATAGTAACCATAGCCGGCAGCAGCTTCTGCTTCTCATGCACCTCCTGTGGGTATCCCAGCACCCGGAATCACTGCTAATGTCCAAGAGAATCTGGGCAATCCAGTAGACCCCATCCCATCACAAGCCTCCAAGGCACTAGTGTACCAAACTGAGGCACCATTTGAATTCGAAGTTGACCCGACAGTTCTGAAGGTCAACAAATTAGA